CGGGTTTCATGGCAGCTGAAACCCGGACACAAGATGTCAGGCAGACAGGGGCAACCAAAATTAAGATAGGGGCTGCTGGCCCCCCACTGAAAATAGTTTTGACTGTGATCTTTACATATTAGTGGGGGGCGCTATTTATATATGAATAAGCCACGACTCATTCTCCGAAGCAAAATTCCGTGCGTCACTAGAGTGTTCGGGTTTCACTGGAAGAAAAGGTGGCAACCCTACTGCAGTGGGGCCTGTGCTTCAGTATTGTTGCCATATCCTGTTTCCTGTAAACCAGTAACCAGTATCCTGTTTCTGCCTTAGACCCTGACTCCTGACCCTTACCCCTGAGGTCTCCCGATCTGTGGCTCCCGGCCCTTGCCGTTTGTATATAGTGTGGCTCTTATTTGTTTCTTGCGGGTGGTGGTGGGATTGTCTGTGTTTATGTGGTTTGCTATATCCATTTAACCAGGGCTCAAAATTTCCACTCGCCCCCTCGCAATTTGCGAGTGAAAATTGCGAGGGGGCGAGAGGAAATGAAGCCATTGAGTCAGACACTCAGTCATGGACCGAGTGCCTGATGCCTGATGACTTGCTCCTATGCTTCTGCCCACAGCCGTGCATCTTCCCATATTAAAGATGGCTGCATGACGGCAGCCATCTTTACTAAGGTCCGTTCTTGTATCCTAGCTCTTGTATACCCCCTACGTGACACACTCACCCACTGCTGTCACGGTGGCGCTGTAAAAGTGAAACTACAGCTCCCATAATCCCACTGCTGTCACGGTGGCGCTGTAAAAGTGAAACTACAGCTCCCATAATCCTCGGTGCACAGGCAGGAAGTTATATAACTTCCTGCCTGTGCACCGAGGATTATGGGAGCTGTAGTTTCACTTTTACAGCGCCACCGTGACAGCAGTGGGATTATGGGAGCTGTAGTTTCACTTTTACAGCGCCACCGTGACAGCAGTGGGTGAGTGTGTCACGTAGGGGGTATACAAGAGCTAGGATACAAGAACGGACCTTAGTAAAGATGGCTGCCGTCATGCAGCCATCTTTAATATGGGAAGATGCACGGCTGTGGGCAGAAGCATAGGAGCAAGTCATCAGGCATCAGGCACTCGGTCCATGACTGAGTGTCTGACTCAATGGCTTCATTTCCACTCGCCCCCTCGCAATTTTCACATGCAAATTGCGAGGGGGCGAGTGGAAATTTTGAGCCCTGATTTAGGCTATATGGTATCCCCCTGGCCTCTAATAGCCATGGGTGTGGAGGAATTCAAAATCTTAGGACTTGTGTGTGGACACAACTTCTCCGCAGTTCATTGCTATAAGAGGCAAGCAGAGGCACAGCCGCAGCGTATCTTCTACAGACCCACAAAGGCCTTTAAAGTAGGACAATTCTTTGAATATTTACAAACAACAAAATCGGTTACCCGATTATAGTCTACCAGAATTCTGCCATTGGAGACCATAGAAAAAATTAGTTTAGGTCAAAGTTGTTAAAATAAACCTCTGTGAGGGAGGCTCTCATAGATCAGAGTTAGGACCACACTACACAGAGCAGCCTTGCCTTGACTAGGCTGTGTAGCTGCCATATATTTTGCAAAAGTTGTGCAACTGAAACTTCTGTTTTTAGGTTGTGAGACAGTGTAATGTTTTTTTTGAAGGCTAGCTGGTAACTGCACTGGGACATTTTTGTGTTTGAGTTCTTTAAATGATTCTGGTCTTATCAGAAAAGACAAAACCTCCAAGGCAAGAAATAGTCGCATTGCACTCTCCCCAAGTTTCCTTACCAAGAATGGCTGGGGTACATTGACCAGCAGACCGTTATCATCCATGATGTTAATAAAATCCAAGGAGTGTCGCAGCCCCACCTCGTAATCTGTCTGATCATGGGCTGGAGTGATCTTCACCGCTCCTGCAATAGGGTAAAATGCAGACAAGAATGGGTAACGGTGTGCAGGAGAAAAAAAAGGGTCCAAGCTAAAATAACAGGTGGAGGAGCAGAGGAGTATATTTTAAAGTCCATCTAACCTGCAAGTTGGCATGAATATGAAACTTAATTTCCCTCTTCTTTTAATGGTAAATGCAGTAGACAGTACTGGAGGTGGTGGGATAGACTGTGCATGTATTTTATATTAATTGCCGAAGCTTCTGCAGATACATTAATGTGTAAAAATCACTCTCTTCCCACCCGTTGCTATGGTTGTAATTAGGCATGCTTGGCTTTTAAGTTGAGTAGCCGTTACTATAGACTTAGGTAAGTTCTTTAAATATTCCTACAAACGAATCCATTAGAAGACACAGGAATTATGTCATTTACTGGAATCTACTGACCGACCAGCCTGAAATTAGACTTCAGTATCTACTAACCTGTGCCAAAACTCATATCCACAAACTCATCAAAGACAATCGGTAGAAGGCGGTTTGCGAACGGATGGACAACACTCTTTCCTTTCAGATGCTGCAACAATCAGAGATAGGATGTTATATATGGGCACACTGCTCATCAGCTTTTCTAAAACTTGTAGGACTTTGGTGCCAACACAGCTTCTGAGAGCTATTCTCACCTGATAACGTTGATCCTGGGGATGGACAGCCACCGCTGTGTCACCCAGCATGGTCTCCACTCGAGTTGTTGCCACCACAACCTCTTCACCTAGAAAGAAGAAGACAAGTCTCACTAGGTGGAAAATAAAACATCCAAGTATACAGAAAATGGGAAGGCCTGCAAAAGTTTGATATGGATTGTCAACATTAATGTTACTCTCACCTGTATTTTGTACTTTGTAAGCAAAGGAAACCAGCACCCCAAACTCCACACCCTCCTTGTACCCAGGCACAGGCAGCACTGTACTACCAGTCAGTTCCTTCTTATCCACCTAAAAAAAACACATGCATAACCTTTATCTAAGTAGTCCTCAGTTACATTGTCACAAAACGCTTCTTTGTTCTCTACTTTGTTCTCCTTGAGTTTCCCCAATATGAAGGAGCACATGTGTGAAACAGTATGAAGTTTTTGTTTTTTTCTGCGAGTATGAATTTAGACAGCCAACATGACCAAGGTTGAAGCAATACAAAAATATTTTCAAAACCAACCAACATTAACATAAAATACTAAAGTCCACTTCTTTCAGATGTTTGGGGAAAACCATAGAGACTTACCCAACCAACTATCACAAACCACTGGCTAGGTTACCACTTAATCACTGATGTGGTCTCCCATTACCACCGATGACCACAGACCTCATCAGAGCCCATTATTATAGGAAAAGTTAAGGCAGTTTATTTAACAAATATTAAAACGTTATATAACACGGTGTACATTATCTAGACAGGAGTTTCACTTTATGATACAAAAGCAGACTAAAGTTACATTTTTGACCTGTGAAGCCTCCAGTCTTTCTTACTGCTCCTCACCTCTATATCTGATATAGCGGAGTTCAGCGTACATGACCAGTTGACAAGCCTCTTGCTACGATAGATTACCCCGACCTCGTGAAGGCGAATGAAGGCTTCCTGTACAGCATGTGATAGTTTCTAAAGGAGGAACAGGGGGTCATAAGTACTACCAACAGCATTGTCTGAGCACACTTAGAGACAAGACATCTCCTCACCGGCTCCATGGTGAAACAGGCTCTATCCCAATCCAGTGAGCTACCCAGGATCCTTAGCTGGTGATAGATTCTGTCACCTTTCCTGAAAGAACATCAGAATGATGTAACTACGAGGGTTAAAATATAATAATGGGAATAAAACTACTTCCCCCCCTACCAACTGTGACTTACTCAGTCTTCCATTTCCACACCTCATCTATAAATGTTTGTCTACCCAGATCATGACGGGTTTTTCCATGCTCTCTCCAAAGCTTCTTCTCCACAACTACCTGGGTGGCAATTCCAGCATGGTCACATCCTGGATTCCACAAGGTCAGCTCACCGCGCATGCGATGCCTGGAAGTATAAGAAGAACCTTTAATACAACCCCTAGCTGTTGTGATATAAATATAAGGGGGTCTTGGAGAAATTCTAGAGGACCCCTACAGTTTTTCTACATTCAGTCAGAGTAGGGAGAAGTTAAGGGGTTTGTTTTTCTCCACTTCACTATTTGTCCCGGTGACTGTAGTCACTGGTAAAGAAAGTTAAGGGAAAGCTAAACTTTTACAATTTTCACCAGATCAGGAGTCAGGGAGATATCTCCCAATGGGGTCACCTGTTCCAGTGACCACTGTGCTTTCAAGACATTACAGCTGAACTCAACAGAAATCCAAAAACACAGATCAATGCAGCTCTGTATTCATTAATACAACAAAGTACATATAAAAAGTCACCCAATTCCCCACTCCCAGTGCATAGAACCGAGTCCCCGCCAAGTACTTCTGTACTCACCTCCTCCTATAGCTGCAGCCTCCTGTTCTGTTAACAGCCTGGCTGGCAAAAAACCTAGTGTTGGGTATGTCCCAATCAAGCCTATAGAACTTTACTGCGCTCAGCATTTGATTTTTTTTTTTTTTT